ATATAATGATTTCAAGAATACATGACCTCCAGAACCAGCCTACAGACATTAAAAAAGAGGTAAATTTTAAAAATTAATGTAATGTTACAAACATTTTCTCGGTAGTCAGAGTTTGTGTATTTTTTTCATATTTGAACAGAAAAAAACAGTGTTTGAAACTGTATATTTAAAATAACTCAATTTTAATTTAATATGTAATTTACCTATACGCCAATATGTTGTGTACTAGCATAAATTTCCCCGTTTATTTATTACTTATTCTTAATCTTAAAAGTATTTGAAATGTATTTTAAATATTTTCTGAATGGACTTTTTATGTGTACATTATATTATGTATATGGTGTGATCAAAAAATATCCGGATTTTTCAAATAAAATTATTATTTTAAATACACATTTAAATAAAATAATCTTCTTCGGAAGCAATACACCTCTGCCATCTTCTTTTCCACTTTTGAAAACATTCCTGGTACTAATTGGAATGTCCTTAAGATTGATTTCCGTATTTTATTTAATGTCATCAATTGATTGAAAACGACGTCCTATGAGCGTAGATTTTAACTTCGGAAATAAAAAAAAAGTCGCACGGAGCCAGGTCGGGTAAGTATTGTGGTTGTGGAACTACTGGAGTTTGATTTTTTGCTAAGAACTGACAAAAAAGCAATGAGCTGTGAGCCGAGGCGTTATCGTAATGCAACATCCAAGAACCACTTTTCCAACTTTCTGGCCTTTTCTTCCTAACATTTTCATGACTTCTAAATAAAAATGCTGATTTACTGTTTGTTCTTGAGGCACCCATTCACGATGAACTATACCCCGAAAATCAAAAAATGTGATTAACATGATTTTCACATTTGATCTTACCTGCCTTGCTTTTTTTGGTCTAGGAGAATTTGATGACTTCCACTGTGATGATTGACGCTTGGTTTCAACATCATACCCGTAGACCCAAGTTTCATCACCTGTTATATAATATTTATGTTATGTAATATTTTTTAAAAAGTCTAGGTCACTTTTTGCTCTTTCAAAAAGTTCTTGAGCTATGGTCTTTTGGTTTTGGTTTTTGTTCATTGCTTAAGAGGTGAGGAACAAATTTGGCTGCGATTCGGCTCATGCCCAATTCTTTGGTTAATATTTCTTGGCACGAACCATAAGATATTCCGATGTTTTCTGCGACTTCTCTGATAGTTAAACGACGATTATTTCGAATAATTTCACGAACACGAGCTACAGTTTCATTCGTTTTACTGGTCGAAGGTCTACCAGGTCGTTGGTTATTCTTAACAGATGTTCTACCTTCCTTAAACCGTTTAAACCACTCAAAACATTTTGTTCGAGACAGGACATCAACTCAAAAGCTTCCTGCAAAAGTTCAAAAGTTTCACTAGAACTTTTCCTTAATTTAAAACAAAATTTCACCCACACTCATTGTTCTTCTATTCCTTCCATTACAAAATTCACCCGCGACTGAAACATGTTTTCGTAGAAATGCCATAAAATAAATATAAATATTGTTATCGATTTAAACCATTGCTCAAATCCTCGTCTGAAGTTACTTTATGGAATGTCATTATCGGGGTTTTGTTATCTTAATTGATATAAATATTTATTATTAACACAGTCCGGGTATTTTTTGATCAAACCGTATAACTACTAAGTAAAAACATTTTAAAATTGGTAATTAATTCAATAAAATTAAAAAAAAATTTATAACGGTTTCAATCCCTGGTTATCAGTTATGTGCAGGTCAATCATAATTATAATTTTGTCATTGTAGTTAAAGGATATAAATGTCACAAACAAACCAAATACAATACCAATGCAGTGCCCTATAATTGAAAATGAATTACCTGATACAACTGATACACCTTACTTCAAATTTATAAAGATTAAACCAGAAACGACAGTTCAGAAGTATAAACTGATCATAGTTGGTCACTCAAATGTTGGAAAAAGTACTATAATTCATCGTTTATGCAAAGGTGTATATACAGACAATATGTCTGACACTTCAGGTACGAGTTTTATATTAAAACTAAAATAATATGTAAGATATGTAATAAGTCACATAATTAAAATATTTCTTAGGTATTTAACTAATAAAGTTATTAAACATATATGTATATTAGGTATGGACTTTCATAAAATATTTGTCAGTTTGAAGAATAAAGCCATCGAATTAAATATTTGGTAAATAAAATGTAATATATAATATAATGTGACACCTATAATTTAATATATGATATAGTATAAATACCAAATACTAAAATACTTTTACATTTATTATTTAAAATGTTTATAGAGTTATTTCAATTCCAAACTAAATCAGTATTATCATGTATCTTATTGTCTTAGGTATACAGCTGGGACAGAAAAGTTTCGCTCTTTAGCTCGACAATATTATAGAGGAGCCCATGGTATATTTATTGTTTATGATATTACAGATTTAAGTTCTTCGTTTAAACTAGATGATTGGATAAATGATGTTAAAGATGTGAGTAATTGTATAATAATTAAGTAAATGGTACCTACTAAGGTTTAATTTGTTATACTTAAAATACATTTTTTTTTTCAGTATTCTGATTTAAATGCAGTGAAAATTTTGATTGGTAGTAAATGTGACGATACATCCAACAGGAAGATCTCAATCAAAGAAGGACAGGATGTAATTATTATTTTGTATTTAACAAATATCTATAATTGATTAATATCTATCAAATAAATAACTAACTTCTTTAAAATAAATTATTCATCAGTTGAAGATGACAATTTCTTACATGATTTCAATTTAGTTTGACGGCTTTAAATGTTTATAGATGGGAAAAAAGTATGGATTTCCATTTTTTGAAGTGTCTTCCAAAACCAATTTAAATATGGACAATTTGTTGTGTGCAATGGTATCAAGAATACATGAACTCCATGTCCAACGAACTGTACAAAACCCTCAGCCAAATAAAGACTTGATAAAATTGGTAAATCCTAAATATATGACATAATAATGTATTTTCTAATTGTAAATATTATTTTGCAAGAATTACAATATGTGTATAAATATAGAATTTATTTCTCATATTTTACAAATTGTTATGCCAATCTTTTTTAATGTTATGCATGCTATACATATTATATATTTCTGCTTTTAAATTTTAATGCATTAAATTGGTAAGTAAGAAAATGCTTGGATTACAATCAAAATATATTTATTGAACATATGTTCTTGAAGCTAATACAACACTTAGACTCTTAGTATGTTAGGTTACTTAAATGTCTAAATACTAAATAATTTAGGAGGATGTGCTTTCTTAGCTAAGGATAGTATTTTTAAGTATCAATAAAGATAACGTTATTTTTTCATTAATAATTATTATTTATTTAGTTCTATTATCATCTCCTATTATATTTTTAATGAAAAACACCAGATTATGATTTTATTCAACAAACTTTATTTCAAAACAGTTTATAACCAAACATAATACCACAAATGTCATAAAATAACACATTTTTAGAATTAAATCCCTATTTAATAGTTAAATATAATAGTTGAAGAACTAATTGACTTACAGTTACATAATATTTAAAAAATATATTTCATTATAATATTTATAAATATGAGATATCTTACCCAAATACAGTATCAAATGAACAACAGTTTAAAAACTAAGTAATACAATAGTCTACAGTAATAAGAGAAACTTGGCATATTACATTTGTAAAAAAAAAAAAACGCGTACATGTAGAGCCTCTAAAACAGCAATAATTTAATTTTAAAATTAAAAAATCTATTATAAATTAATCAATGATTATATGATTTAAATATACTTAAAATGTATTTATTTATTTTGCAGGTGAAGTATAACAGCCCCTTACCTCCAAAAGAATCTTCTAGAGGTTGTATTTGTTAATCAGAGATATTCAGAATAGTTTTAAGAATTATATTATATCGTGCAAAGTTATAAAAATATAAAATATTTTATTGATTAAATAAAATATGAGTTGATGCAGTAAATTGTTTTATATCTATCAGGTGCAGTGGTGCCGAACACATACTTCAGGTACCTAGTTCTATTGAACGGCCTTGAAAATTGGGTGGGTGGGTTGATCGTGGATAAAATAATAGAATATACTACCTAGTCTTTCTGCTATAATTCTATTAAGCAGGAATGTCACTAAGTTATTTACATGTTCAGCGGGGCCCATTATCTTCTTGAAGAATAAATGAAAATAAAAAATAAAAATAATAATTAGTTAAACTCCTTTGTTTCAGTCTTTTGAAGGGTTGGGTCAATCAAACTATTTGAACTTCTAGTTTTAATTTCATTCAGTAAGGAACGAAACACCGTTTAACTAGGTCTGGTTTATAATTTATTATAAAGTGTAGTCATAATAAGTTAGTAGGCTTTATTTTAGATTTTGAGCTGAGCGATGAATGTATTGATTTTACAATGATTTTTGTGTCTGTTATCACCTTTTAGGGCAGTAAAAGTGCTTAGATTTTCTTGAACTGTATCTTTTCTGATAGAAAAGTAAATATATTTACTATGGGGGGGGGGGGGGGGGGTCAAAAATAAAAATTACCTAGTAGTTTTTAAAAGCTCTGTGATACACAAAAGAAAAATTAAGGAAAAGCGGGAATTTTTACGGAAAATCGATTTTGGTTTTTGGTGTAACTCTAAAACAAACGCAAATACATGACATTTTGACTGAATGTTTATAATTTGTATTAGCATTTACTATACGCAATAACAGTAGCAGTCAAAGCATAAGCTTAAGCTATGGTTGATACTACATATTTTTACATATTCGAGCTTACTTACATATCCTACTTTTATTACATGTTTTTGTTAAATATTCCCTTATATTGAAAAAATCGCTGTTGTCCCCGTCAAATCCGGTTAAAAATGTATCAGTCGTACGTTGCTATATAGACTATCTAATCTATGCACTAGTGCACCACGCACCTGTATGTTCTATATAAATATATATCTATTGCAATCGTTCACAATGGCAGCGATAAACAATCTTGCCGTGATTTCAGTCCTGCAGTTCAGGATGCTTTCAGTTCAGCATTATGCTGAAATAGAAGCTTTCAAATTTGCACCTATAACTTCTGTAGACGTGGAAAGGTCATTTAGTCGCTACAAGAACGTATTTCGTCCCAATCGACATCGATTTACTTTAGAAAACTTAAAAAAGTACATGGTTGCCCATTGTTTTGCTGCAGACCACGAGGATCTTCATATTGAATAAATATATAAACAGTAATATATAATTATAATTACAATAATAATTTTTAATTACATATTTTTTAGTTTTAAATACATACGCCTAAATCCGCCCCCTAGTAATAATCAATTCTCTCCATCAATAATATTATGATAATTCTAATATTATAGGATCTTAATTTTGTTTTTGTTACATAATATTCATGAAATTCATGGTGGGTAACCTAACATTGGACGTCCGTGGTTTGAACTCTTAATTTTTCATCACTCCGCGGCGGGTCCCCGGTCGGTGACCCGGGAAACAACCGCTCATCATGACAGAAAGTACCTTCCCTGCCAAGACGGCTGCAATGGGTGAATTTGGTTTTGGCCAGTGTTCGGAACGTTCACTAAAAAAATGAATTCATTCACGTTCACGCTGAGTCCTTCAAAAAGGAACTCATTCAGGTTCAAATTCATATTTTTTCCAAATGAACACGGTCACGTTCACGTTCTTTGAAAATATGAATGCGTTCATTTCGTCTTTCATTTAATTTATTTTATGTTTATGTATCGTTTAAATACGAATACAAAATCGTTGAATTCAAAATATAATTGTTGTTATAAAATGTCCAGGCGTGCCCACTGGAATTTCATGTATCTATTTTATTTTCATAATTCGTAATATATATTATATAACATTATAGTATTATTAATCAAAATGTATTAAATAATAAATAAATTTGAATTTCTTAAAAATCGTTCAAATTCATTAAATATTTTTAAACGTCGTTCACGTTCTATTTCACTAAATATCAACGTGTACGACCGTTCTTTCCAAACACTAGTTTTGGCAAGATTGTCCCCTTCCGATTAATGCCTATGACTTCGGTGTGTGTTTCTTATTTCAAATTGACCTCTGAAAAGGATACTGCCCTGATATCCGCTACTGTCATCGATGACTGCGAAACCACTGCAGGTCCACAACCGCTGTGATGTAAAAAATAGGCCAGTGGCAATTATATGTAAATAATTTAAAAGGCCCCCCCACAGTAACAATAATCAAATTGCCGTGTAAGTCTATATTTTAAAGTATACGTAGGTACTAGTGTATTACGCATATTAATATAAGTAATTTGTTTTTCTATTGGTCATACGGTATTACGTATTGTTGACCAATTATATTATATAATATTGTTACTTATATGTCAATACCTACTCAATTGTCAACACCTATGTATTGTAAAGAATGGTTTAAATATAGGTTCATGATATTATAATAAATAAATAGCTTAAAATTACTCTTATTATTATATTTAAAATGTCAGTGTGCATTGAAAATAATAATATAGTTACGTTGTACGTAATAGTCAAACGTTACAATAGTCTTTACAATAAATATTTTTAGGTTTACAACAAACTAAGTAAAATCGTTAGGTACCTACCTAGATATAATTATTTTTTGTAAAATTATCCAATTTCGTAAAAACAAAAACATTAGATATCGGTTCCAGTTCTAAACTTGATTGTCTTGATTTAATATTTTCAAATACTTCAACAGACTACATTACATTGTCTGATGAAGAGCGTAGCAGGGGAATTGCTATATTATAATAATATACAAACGTTGAAGTAATGAAATGTAAATATAGGTAGTTTAGTAGTTAACTTGAAATTTGAATTCAACACTGCTATATTTTGTAGCATTTATATGACATTATGACGTTATTGAAAACAACATTTACCTATGTGCCAAATCTTAAAACGAGGGATTCTTGCATTCCTTTGAATAATACAATTCTAAAAAGCCACGCATTGCCACGAGTCAAAATCGTTAGATATGTTTTAAAGATAATTGCATATAATTATAGCATTGATTAAATATACATGCATTTATTACGTTAAGTCGTTAACTGATATTTAATTACTAATAATAGCTAATATAATTTAATAGTTATGTATGAACAATTTTTATGAATTTCTAACTCAAAATAATTTGCAAATTTTCGTCATTTCTACGTATTTTGTCAACATTTGAACTTTAAATGCTTAGAAAACATAATTGTGACTACGGATTTTTAATATTTTTCATATATCAATGTAACAATTTATTAGTAGCCTTGTATTACATTTTCAAGATTTTTTACCTAACAAATAAAATTTTATAGACATCTATAGAAAAAAAACATAAAAAAATTGGAAACTGAAAATGTCCGTAAACAGCTCAAAATAAGTCAAAATATTTTGAAAATTGTATGGTGTGTAGAAAATGCTCATATAAATATTCAGTCAAAATTTCATGGATCTACTTTTTTTTTTTAGAATTACAGCAAAAACCAAAATCGGGTTTGGGTAAAAATTCCTGTTTTTTCCTTAATTTTTCATTTATTTTTTACGGCTCTTATGAAAACTATTGGAAAAATTTTACTTTTGACCCCCCAAAGTACCAACTAGATTCACTTTCCTATCAGAAAAGGTACTGTAGTTGAAGAAAATCGAAACATTTTTACTGTCCTAAAAGGTGATGACAGACACAAAAATCAAAAATAAATAAAAGAAACACATCATTGTAAAATCAAAAAATTAATAATAATCGAAAATTTCATATGCCTATAAATAGTTTTACATGAGTCAAAATATTTTTAAAATGTTATGTTGCATAAAAAATTCAAATAAAAACATTCAGTGAACATTTTATGTATCTATGGTCTTTTGTTTTAGACTACTCATATTAATTATTTTTGTACAAGAAACATTAGTTTTATACATTTGACTCCGGATGATTTGTACAAAAAACGATTATGTATGGAACATTTTATGAATAATGATTTTACTAATGAAAAGACCAAAAATTTAAAAAAAAATGCAGTGCCTAAAAAATATGAAGAACCACAATCCATTAAAGTATTAACACCAACTAAAACTTACGGTGGACATCCATTTTTTCCAAAAAGTATTCAAACACTCGGGTACAAAAAACGACAAAACTGTGATAATTTTGATGAACTGTACACACAGACTCCAAAAAAAATATTTAAAAATAGGTACAGATAACAAGTCGCTATGTCTTACTTCTGACCTAACTACAAAGACAAAATTACTTCTCGATTCAACACGAAATTTACCAAGTCCTAGTGTTCAGTCACCAATCAATTCTCCGCGATCATCTTCAAAAAAATCATTATTTAAAATTGTTGACAAATTTGAAAATACTATAAAAAATCAAAGGAAAAATTTAAAAAATAAACGGTCATCCATTTCAAAACTTCGGAATAGTCTTTCAACATACAAATCAAAATATAAAAACTACGATATCTTAAACACATTTAATTTCGAATCAAATGAATCTAAAACGTTGGTAAAAATGCAGGTTTCAAGAAAAAATAAAACTACGAAACAATGGGCTAGCGACGAGAAAAATCTCGCTTTGAGCATTTTTTATAAATCTCCATCGACTTACAAATTTTTACGAAATTCAAAAAATATCAACCTACCTGCTGAGTCTACTATTAGGCGATGGATAGGCAATTCAAAGTTTAAAACCGGGACATTACCAATTGTCTGATGAAGAGCGGAGCAGTGGAATTGCTATATTATAATAATATACAAACGTTGAAGTAATGAAATGTAAATTTAGGTAGTTAACTTGAAATTTGAATTCAACACTGCTATATTTTTTAGCATTTATATGACATTATGACGTTATTGAAAACATTTACCTATGTGCCAAATCTTAAAATGAGGGATTCTTGCATTCCTTTGAATAATACAATTGTAAAAAGCCACGCATTGCCACGAGTTAAAATCGTTAGATATGTTTTAAAGATAATTGCATATAATTATAGTATTTAAAATTAATGTAATATTTTAAAATAGTGCTTCTTGTAAGTTTTTAAGTTTTTAATTTCAAACAACGTGTATCAAATATGTAAAAAACCTTTATAATACGTTTCTTCGTTTTAAACGTTAAAATCGATTTTTCTGAAAACTATAAATATTTTGAGTTGCGCGGCGGTCTCGTTCTATATTTGCGAAATGTGTATGCGTATATGTGTATGCGTATATGTGTGTGCGTGTATGTGTTTTTATTGTGTCTTGTGTCTGTATGAAAGATTAGGTATATAGATCGTATACAACTACTATACAAGTATACACTATACAACATAAAAAATGTCAAGAGTCCACATATATAATATACACTCAAGTATATACACACGTATATACGATATACAGGGTGTATCTTATGTCATTGTACGCGGGGTTTTTTGACGATTACGGAACGATAATATGGAATTTCGTTAAAACGAAAAAAGACGTGTTTCTTTATTTTTAACAAGCAATTTTTTTATAACAATTTCAAAATTTTTAAACACGCAGGTGTACCAATAGCAAAATCAACTTTTTTTTTGAAATGGTAACCACTATATTTTTAATGGATTCTGGTAAAGCTTTTTTTTCTGAACATTTTGGTAGTCGAATCGTCAATTTTGGTTAGCTAGTTTATTAACTATGGTCCTCCAAAGATTAGTAAAATATGCATTAACCCTTAACTTGGCAAAAACAAAAATATTGCACTAAAATTCCAAACTATCACTATTTTTAATACTTTTAATTAAAATAATGGGTATAGGTTTAATTTACAAGCGCTAAACAATTTTTTCTTATAACTACCATTTGATACACTACAATAGTTGAATCGGTAATCTAATGACACCATCAAAAAAAAAATAACAAACATAATTGTTTGTAAACATACTTCATTATTTTTATTTTAACATACGATCATAAAAATCAATATTATTTTTTTAATTTATAATTATAATCGTAATTAATTACTTTACATTTTTTTCATCACAGTTACTTTTCTTACAATATCATAAATTTGAATTCTTAATTAGGTAGGTGGCTAAGGTAATAATGGTAAATTGGTAAATGGTATTCGATTGTTGACATTAATATGTGCAACGAAAAAAGTGCAATGTTTTGTGGTGCTCTTTTCGTAGTGGTATAAAGTATAAACTTGATATTTTAACCATAGATTCCCTA